CGCGCGCGCGCGCGCACACACACACACACACACACACACACACACACACACACACACACACACACACACACACACACACACACACACACACACACACACACACACACACACACACACAAATGTACACAGGCAGCAACAGCTGCAGAGGGTGGTGGTCCATAATGGCATAACTGTAGTGTCTGAGTGACACATTGTGGGCCTGATGGGTAACAGAGAACCACCTACACATGACCCGCCCCCACCCCCGACACACACAAACACACTGTCCCTGTGGCCACCTCAAACACACACTCCACTCCTCCCCCTCTTGGGTTTTCACCTCCCTTTGTCTCCCCCTTTCCCCGCTTGTTTTTGGAGCGTGGAGTGTGAAACAGATGCTTTTTCACACTGTCAGACCTCATTTAAATAGTGCATGGGGAAATGAGGGTATAGAAAACAAAAGGGATATTAATATTTATTCTATTAGCTGAAGTGCTTAGGTCTGTGATTTTCCCCCCTGTGTGTGTGTATGTTTGCGTGTGTGTTTATGGAGAGCTGTGCTGTGAGGCTCTGGTGGCTCTATGATGGATAGCAGGCAGTAATTATAGATGGGAAAACTGCTGAGGATGGCACTATGGGCCAGGCAGACACTCCGGCAGCTCAGGGGTTAAGTCTGCTCCTCGCCTCCATCCTCCTCCTGCCTCATCCTGGCTTTGTCTCACGCTCACCCTCCACCTCCCGGGATCCATCTCTGGTATCCTAATTGTCCCTTTTTTCTTCACAGCATACATTTTCATGCTGTTTTTTTAATTATTTCCAATTTTCCAATTTACTCAAATGGGGCTCCGGTATCAGGTCCATTTTCTCTTATAGTTTTTGACACGATAAGCCTACAGTCAGCCATCAGAGCGTCTGTGGTCAAACTGCCATCCATAGTTTTGGCCATAGTCATCTCTTAATGGATTTTATCAATGGCCATTCGACTGATTCAGCATGTTGAACAGGAATAGAGAGCTGTCAGATTGGCTGTTTAGCCAAATGAACCTGTAGTTTTCACCATTCTTAAAGCAGTTTATCTTAATTGGACCCCTCGAATAGAAATGTCACAGGGCCTTCTTCATTTTTTTAAATACATATTTTCAATTGTAGGCAGTTTAAACAAAATATTGTTCTGTAAGTGCACATGCATGACTGAGAGTTACTCCAGCCATTCATATTGTCCCTGTTATTTGAAAGCCCGCTAATTTCTTTGATACACAGCTCTGGATAATTAAGAGACCACTGCAAAATGATGAGGTTTGACCAACCTGGGGGCAAAGATCGCAGGGGAGGCGCCAGGCCTCAGATTACTGAGGCCAAATATCATATTTAGACTTTTTTTTTTTTTTTTTAAAGCATTACATGATTGTCGCTAAAAGCCTTGTCTCTACATTACAATAAAATATAAAAAATAATTGATTAATTAATTTGAATAAAAATTCAAGTTAGTAGCTATTAAAGGCATAAAAAGACAGAAATGTATAATTCTTTCTTTAATAGAAATGTTTCTTCTGCCTGTAAAACGTCCAATCCAGGCTTTTCTGGATAAGCGCATTTTTAAAACATAGTCATTGTCCATGCCGGTTTCAGTTGGATTATTTGTCACAGTTGCTCCGATCAGATCGGTCTCCTCCATTTTGTAGATTATTTACGACTTTTGAATCCACATAAACACATCGGCAAAATCCGGCTTACTTTGAGCATGTGTTTTAAACAGTTTAATCCCTTTGTGAATTGTTTCCACTTGCACCGTCCTTTATTTTCTTCATACAGCGGGAATCCAAATGATTTAATCCTGAGTCCAATAACCATCAAAGTCACTCCAATAGTGCTCCTTAATTACGCTTTCATCCTCTTTTAATAAAATACTTCACATTCATCCAGTTTGTGACGGTAGTTGTAGCATTTTTGAGACTTTTAAACTTCCAACACGAGTCATCTGGGGGGGCTCTTGGGAAAAAAGGTTGGGAACCACTGATTTATAGGTATGTCCTTGAGTAAAATGTACATTTTTCTATTTTATTCTATGAACTACTAACATAATTTCTCTGTTTTGAAATTCCACAAACACTGGATTGTTATGGATGCCATACATGTAGAGATTGAGATTTAAGAAACATTTGGAGTGGTCTCTTCATTTCCAGGGCTGTACTTAAACTCCCCTTTTCACATTCACAAACAGGAAACAATATAGACCCGCTTCCTATTCCCCTTACATTTAAACCAACTAACCTCATATCATCATTACCCTTCTTTTTATTTTCTTACACTATGTGTACAATTATTTAGATTTACTATGTAGGCGTGTAAACTTTGTCCAACAATGATATAAGTAGGCTGTATTACAATTTCAGTTACATGTTCAATGAATATTAAGCACATTACAATTGATGTTTATAGATAATTGCCTCCAAAGCTATTTTACGGTCATCAATGAAAAAAGAACACTGATCATTGAGCCCAACGTGAAGCCTAATACGCGGCCACATACTAAATACTCCAATGACTTGACTCACAATATTGATTAAAAAGGATTTTATTGACTTAGAAATTATTGTATTAAAAAAAATTGTCCATTCCGCTGCTTGAACTGCGGCAACAGCAATGTCATTTAAAATGACGGCATCACTGATTAAATTTTTCTGTTGCAGTCCAAGTCTGCTCACATTTGGTTCCAAGTCTGCAAAGTCTGTTTCCATTAACCAGTCTTTAGACAACACCAGAGCCCATACTGTGTTCCTTTAGTGTTTACTTCCTGTCGGTCTTGTTCTGTCGATTTTTCTGACATCCAACGCTCTTTCTTTTGACCTCTTTCATTCTCTTGCACTGATTTTTCTTTTCTGTTTTGGGTACAGTTTAGCCATCATGAATCCAAAATTTGGTGCTAAAATATGAAAATGATGTTAAATCGACAACTTATTTTTGAGGAATGATACGACTGCAAGAATTCCCTTGATCCTCCTTAGCCACGGTCATGTTATCCTAAGCAGCGTTGCGTTAGCAAGTATTTACAACCTCTGAAACTAAGAACAAAAAACAGACTGCTAAAGGTTGGAATTGTTTACAGGTCTCTGATTTATAATCCACCCTCGTCCCCAATTCTGGCTACCTGAAGTAAAACTGGATTTTGTTGGGTTCGGGAAGATTTTATACAACTCTGGTGCTAATAATTCACCAGCGGCATCTGTGTCCAATTCCCATGCATCAATAGCTGTCTCATTGAAATGAATGAGGAGGCTGCCTTTTTTGATGCAATGCTAATATCAGTGTGAACACGACCTAAGATCTACTGACAGTGTGAACTTTCATTTTCTTAACATTACCATCTCTTTGTTGCTGCTCTAGCAACCTGAACTCATTTATTGTTCTATTGAACACACTGTAAGTTGCTTCGGACTAGAGTGTCGGCTTAATGCCCAAGATGTAAATGCATGTGATGTCAATTTTTTATGTTACTGTCTTTTCTATCTCCCTCCCTCCCTCCCTCTTCCTTTCTTGCTTCTTTTGCTCATTCTCTCAGTCTCGTCGTAAATGTGCTGACTCCTCCTGGTTTTGGCACAGCAGAGAGCTCTCTAATAGGCCCCAGAGACATCCCAGCATTCTTTAAATCAAGTGGAAAATTGTTAACTTGGTGTGGGATAAAGATGTTCTTTCCACTTTAGCTTTTTCCTCCCATTTCCCAGCTCTCTCTCTCTTTTTATGAAAATGAGGATGAATGGAGATGTAGGGAGAGGACTGAGCTTTTACAGTCAATTTCTCTTACAATTTGTTTCTCACACTCAAAGTGCTTCAGCTTTCTGAACTCCTGTTCCCGTCACCCTTATCTGTTGAATAGAACGCATACATCTTTTAAAGTAAAAAATGTAAAGGTGCACATCAACATTAAAGTGAATATTTTAGGTTTCCGCATAGCAGCAGCTTTCCAAGTATTCTCTGGACGATTGTTTGATGAATAAGTATGATACGCACTCCTGTTGTTGCTAATCATAACAGCCAGTTTTAAGATTTGCAAAGTTGCTTTCAGAATTGTGAGGTTGTACCGCGACACATTGGACTGCATGGTTATCAGAATAATGAGAAGTGCAATACTGAGATCCCAGTTTGTATTCACTACAAGACATCCATCTTTGAAAGTGTGCAATTTTATAAAAACAGCAACACATGTTAATATTCATTGATTTATCTTCTTAAAGACATACATGACTTAAAGATGTTTTTATAATAATGTGAAGGACACATCTTGCACAGCTTGCAATTAATACATTAAATTAAATGAATAAATATAGAGTTTTTGATCACAGAATCAGTTAGAATATTTAGATATAAGCTAAATAAGTTGTTATATTCTTAGATGATTTTTTTTGGAACATGCACCAGGACTTAAAATAGTTTGGCTTATTTGAAGCGTATGTAAATGCAGGTTTCTTGCTGTTCTGATTTTGTATCTTTATGACTTTTGAAGCATAAGTTAAATCTAATGTTATGTTATTATTACTCTACTAAATGTTACTGTTAAGATTAATCCTATTTACGATTTATTTGGTTTCAGAATTATATTGGTGTTGGCAGATATCCAAAGACGGATCACGGAATCGGATCAGAATTTTTGCTTCTTTGAAAACTATCTTTTTATATATTAAGAAAAATATGACGATTAATACTGGAAAATAATAAACATTAGCATATTTCTTTGCCCTGTGTTGGCCTGACAGGCTCAGCAGCGATGTCAGACATCAGATATAAAATTGACACTGGCATGAGGTCTGATTTAGGGAGAGAAATGTAGTGTCAAAACAGCAGCCCTATAAGATGATCCAGAGAAACATTTGGCCACGAGCTGACCCTGGGCCTTCCTGGCACCCAGGGGTGCAGAAACACGGGTGTGAGGGCCCTGAGAGGGGCTCTGGTGGCAGCGAGTCAGGGCTGCTGGGCCCCAGAGAGAGTTTATTAAGAGTCCACGGTGTCCCAGAAAATCGATCTCCAGATCCTTTACACACGCACACATCCCCCGATACACAGGACCAATCTGCTCCCCAGTACCACACTCCCCTGCACACACACAGACACACACACACACACACACACACACACGCACACGCACACTCCTCGCAGCCTGCACCCCAGAGTGAATATAATTAGCTTTTCTGACAGGTGGGAGGGATCGGATCTCGTGGAGAATGAAGCTACCAATTTACACCCGTATTACACTCAAGTTGCAAACATGCATGTGAAAGCTCAATCTCTCATGCACAATACTCGCCAGAATGACGCTAACAGTGACCCGCTTTACTCAATGTGCATGTTAAAGGAGAGGGTGACTGAAGGAGTATCTTTTGAAAGTAGAAACTTACAAAAGAATGGATGGAATACGAGGAAACCAAATCCCAAATACCTAATCAGGTTATGTCCTTCGTTTCCAAAAACAGTCATACAAGTGGGAAACTTAGTGGGATGAGATCATTGGTAGAAAATCTCTTTGAGGGAATGTTTTTTATGGTCAAAAACATTGTTCTAAAAGGTTGGGTCGGGCGTTGTTAAAACTTTTAAACCAACCATTCCCCCGAGTTTCACGTGGGTGTGTGTGAAATATTCGTACCATTTTTCATCTTTAACAAAAAAAATACAACTGTACACCAATGACTAGCTTACATGTTAATGCATCTTAGAATACGCCATAAACTGTTAAATTATTTGGATTAGTCCTTCCCTGTTTCCCAAGAATTCCCAACGTTTTCTCCGGGCGAAACCCTTAACCCTTAATTCAACTATTTTTTTATTTAAAGATGTGACGGCTCTACTCCCTGTTTTTCCCTGGTTTCTCTGTCTTCTGTTGCCTTCCTCTTTGTAGAACAGGCATAGTTTCACGTAGCCAGACATTTCGCCACACTCTGTTTGATTTCTGGGCCAACTGACGTAAAGCAGTTAACTCATTCTTTAGAGTCACACCATTAAATTAGCAAGGGAAAGTGCTCAAAATCACCCCAAGACAACAATAACATATAATTGTCCAATCGCCCAACGCCTGTATCTTTTATTCAGTGTTTAGATCTGTGACTTAAAAGTGCTGCACTCCATCCTTGTTATGATGAAACCAATGATGTTATTATATCACAAAGGGGCATGAAGGGTGGCTGTTGCTCAGGAAGTAGAGCAGTTGTCAACCAAACAGAAGTTGGTGGTTCTATCCCTAGCCCAAGTCTCCTTAGGCAAGATGCTTCACCCCAAGTTGCTCCCAATGGCATGACCAACTTGTGTGAGTTTTAGAGAAAGTGTCTAGAGGTGACACAAACTGGAAGGCCATTATATAAATGCAATCTATTTACGTTTTATGATTATTAGTGCACACTTGTTCTGTTGGTTGCAAATGGTCTTGGAAAAAAAGGTTATTAACTTAGCACAAGCAGCTTCCTGCCATATGTTTAAGTATTAGCTGAAACAAGACAAACCTGTGGCTTTGTGTCTAAATGTGCCTGTCTCTAACCCCCAGTGTAAGAAGAAACACACTCTGGTGTGTCCGGACTTCTCTAAGTCGGGATCCTGCCCTCGAGGAGCCCGCTGCAAACTCCAGCACCGCCAACGAGCCAAGAGAAGTGCAAGCAACACCTCCAGCACCGCAGCCAAGAGAGGCCGGAACAAGGAGCCGGCTAAGAGGTGAGGGAGGCAGAGTTTACAGATATCACTCATAATTGGCGAGAATTATAATTGAAATGAATTGAATACGTATAAGGTGAAGCGTTGGAGGGGAATAGGGTAAACACTTTATTTACAAGATACCACCATTAAACGTATTCAGTTGTTTACTTACCTAAAGACAATAATGTTTTTTTGTTACAAGCTTGGAAAATGAGGCATTGCTTTTATTGTTAGAATAGAAATGCAAACATTGGATGGCTCAGAGTACGAGAAAAATACTGTTTTTGAACAAATGTTCCTGAAAGATAAGTGTTATAACATTTTGCAGGTCGAAGCGGGTAAAAAAGGGTAGGAATAAATAACTATTATATACCAGCCTAAAACATACTTACATTTGGAGAAATATTTTTTGTATTACACATTCTCTGAAATGTTTGGTTAAAATGTACAAATGACGCATTATCTAATTCTTACTAAGTACATTTAAGAAAATTCTACAGTGGCAACTAAACAAAGTCTCATAAAATAAACACTCAAGTATGTATTGCGGATGTTTTCTTTACCCTAGTCCAATTTATCGATTGAAATTGGCCAGCGGACGTGGCGTCTCTCTTTAGTATCTTTTTTTTAATTTTTTTTCTTTCATATTTAGTTTCATTATACATACATGTTCACATTTTGGTCAAGAGTTTTTCCATTTTCATTTAGCTGTATCTACATAGCCAACATAAGAGAAGAAAAAAAGTACAAAAAGAGATCAATAAAAATGTCTTTAGTATCTTTTAACATCCTGTTTAATTTGTTGTTTTCTTTTGTTTTTGTTTTTTCCCTAGGCCCCGCCTGTCTGTGGTCATCCCTCAGGACTCTCAGGCAGATCCAGGGACGCCCACCAAAGGTCCTCTGGCACTGCCCTCTTTCATCTCCCTCTCCAGCTCTCCAGAGGATGCAGACGCCCCGGTCACGCTGCTGTCTGAGACCTCACAGGTTAAAGGTGACCGAAACACATGACCCCACCAACCATAGACCACCTCAGATTGTCCCAAGGTGTACGCAAAAACAATCAGGCCAACTTTGACATTTTCTTTGTTAAATTAATTCAACTTTATCCTACCATACATACAATTGTTGTTCACACATGTATTTCCTGTGCAGTGGGGATTATTACTGATATTACAAAAGCGATCTATTCCATCTTCTTTACCAGATTTGTTAATCAGAAATATTTAGGGTTTGTTTATGACATCAGCGACTGATAGTTCTGAGAAACATCACTCTCAACTCGATTAAAAGGAATAGAATAGTTGAGATTAATAAAAACTGCCAATTCTGACCATGTTTGGATTTTACATTTACAGAATTGGCAAATACATTTTTGTTAATTGATAGGAATTACGGAAAAAGAACATGTAGGTTGTCAACAAATGGGATGTTCCTTAAGAGGACTAGCTGCTTCACTCAGTGTAAAAGTGCTGTGTGGAGTGTAATTGTCCGGAGACGTTTTGTGGAAGGATCATGTTTGTCCTGAAAGCCCCAGGATCATTCCCAGAGTCCATGAGAATGGGGAGTGGTGATTCGTCTGCGCTGCAGACAGATAATGATGATCAGAGCCGCGCTGTGGAGTGTGATGATGCTCAGGGGAGGAGTAATAATGCTCAGAGGACAGAGGTAATAATATTTAGGTTTTAGGCTGGCCCGAGGCACAGCTGAGCTCTCTGTTGACAGACATGACAGATAGAGGATTAGGAGAAAGGGAACCCTCCCCTCTTCAAACCTCTTCCATCCCCCAACCCCCCCCTCATCTTCCCACCAGGCACGACCATCCACCTGCCCCTGACTGCTGGACACACGCACACACTGACATAGATACACACATGCTGGGTCGCAAGGACAAATGGTATCCCTTTCACATGAATTTAACCGTTTATACCACGCACTACTTTACCAAACACTTCAGTTATCAATATTGTAATATTACCTCCTTAGAAAATGTTTTTCTTCAGTCGATTTTGTAGGATTTGCTCAAATAAATAAGGTTTATTGCAGAATGTGGTCAAGCTATCGGAGTAATAATATTATATTTTATCTCGGGGGGAAAAACAGACAACAGATGTGTTTTTATTTGAAGAATACAATTAAAATATCCCAAGAGACACGGTAGATTTGTAAATGCCTTTGTGGAAAGCTGGAGGAGGATCATCAATCTCATCTTAACTGCAGTTAGTTATGAGATTTGGACAGTTAATAAGTTAATGGGTAAATGAGTTGTTCTATATGACATTATTGTCTTAACATACACAGGTATTTCCAAACGTTAACAGCTTATAAGGACATTAATAATTTAAAGAAGAAAAACCTTTAGGGGAAATCATCTTTAAAACATTTTTTAAAGATTTGTCACTCTTACTTTTCCATTTCTAGATAATCCTCCTTCTCTTTCATGATTTTATATTTAGTCTCTTCTGCTTGGAAACGAGCAGGAGCTTTGACCTGGCCCGATCATCTTGACCGCCGACTTTCCCTAGTCACACACACAGTGCACACGCACCAATATAATCATATTGGTGCAGTAAATGTTTTTCTCTTGTGTCCTCAGTGTTTTAGTTTATGTTTTTGCATTTATGTGTGTACGCTTCATGTCGGTATCCAGTGAGTTTGGAATGATGTCCTGCTCACATCTAAGTTCTTTGCAGCTGCTCGTGTCTCTTGGCATGGTTCTAACACATCCTTGGAAATTGCTAGCTAACTTTTCAGGAATGGAAAGCATTTATTATATAAGTTACCAGTTAAATCTGATACTTGTGTTATTTACTTAGTGTAAATGTAAGAAGCAGCAAAGAGCTAACGGATGGCAGCGTCAAACATAGTGTTAGACTTGCATCTTTTATTAATATATTTTATTTATATTTTAAGGACTTTACAAATCAGGGATGTATTTTTCCTGCAATGAATATGTACGTCATTATTCCTTTTCTAAACTGTTTTTGTCATTAACACCTTCCCGCAGAATGCAATTATTATGAGTCAGAAAAGGGAAGTGTTTTTTTTCTGAACATCGCTGATCATCTCAGTTTAGCTAATCTATTCTAGCTCAAAAAGTTGCAACAATATTGCATGTTGCCAAAGGAACACTGCCAGCATCATCGTGTTTTAGTCATGGAAAATAATATATATTTTAAATAGGCCGTATTATGCACATTTTCAGGCTTAATTTGGGGATTTTATTCCTCTATTGTGACAAGTTTACATCCTTTGATGTTCAAAACGGTCCTTATTTTTCTCATGCTGCCTGTGCTGCAGCTCCTCTGTTCACCCTCTGTCTGAAACCAGAGCCCAGTCTGTTCTGATTGGTTAGCTTGCCTGCTCTGTTGTGATTGGTCAACCACTTAGAGATGTCCCGCCACTTATTGTTGGAGTGCTAGCCAATAGAATCGAGTGTTACATAGTGATGTCATTATGTAACAGAAGTATACAAAAGAGTCCAATGAAGGCGTTTCAGGCAGGGGGGCGGGAGTGTTTGGGAGAAAACTTTTGTATTTTAGCCTTTGCAGACCATTTACATGCACAAAAACCTATATAACACTACAGGTAAGCGAAAAGCATAAAAGGGCCCCCTTAAGTCATGGCTTTAACGATACGAACTGGTCTAAATGAACTCATCTGGCGGGCTGCCGCATGTCTTCATGTTTACTTTACATGCTCTCCCTGACACACACAGGTATGATCATTTTGTCGTCCCTCCTCTCAGTCTGTCCGCATAGTTTGAGCTCTTAAGTAATACTGATGACACTCTGCTGCTTCACTTACACACTGCGCCGCCCAGAGCCTCATTAAAGGTGGAACTGAGCCAAACAAGCTCCTCTTCACTTTGCATAAATTAGCTTAGGCGCAATGTATCACTGCCAGATTGCGAACTCACACGCAGACACACATTTCCTGTACACACACCTCCATACACCTCTTCCTCATTTACTCATCAGCTGAGATGTCATCACTCAGGGTTTCAGCAGGATTCAACACACAGAAGATAACAGTCAGATACACACATCTTGTATCTTCCTGCCATTACTCATTTCCTGTTTTTCCTCCGCAGAGAAAAGGCTGCAGATCAAGCCTCGGCTGTGAGAAAAAGAGAAAAGACGCACCAGAGGTAAAATAAAGACTCAGCAATGATTTCTGTGCTCAAGGCTTGTCCTGACGGGTGTATCTGTGTCTCTGTCCTATGAATTCACTCAGGGCCTGAAAGTTTTTTTTTTAATATATATCTATCTGTTTTACATATCAATTTGGGTGTTTTACAGTGCAGATTTTATTGATCAAGTTTTGTACATTTCAAAAAAGACTAAATAAAAGGTGAACTCGTAACTGTGTGGTGTTTCCCAGACTCTTTTTGACATGTGAAGTCAGCGCTGTGAGAGTGTTTATAGGCTGCGAGGGTCTTTCTGTTTGGGAGCGGCCGCGTCGTCACATGACCCGAGCGTGTTTGTGAGAGTTTTCCTTTAGAAGGTGGTGACAGAAGCAGCAGTGCCCCTCACTTTAAAGCCTGGAGGACGAGACACATGAGCGGACGGTGACTTCATCCGCACCATGCTGTGAGTCTGACTCTGCGTGAGTGTGTGTGATTTAAGAGGATGCGTGCACACACTGAAACAAGTCTCTTTTTCTGTGTTCTATCAAAGATACCATCAATCACATACAGTATATTTAAAACCTTATTTGATGGTAGTTACATCATAAAGGGATATATTATAAATCATTGTTCGGGACAGCACCTTAACATAGCAACATATTATAATGTTCCCCATTTGTTCCATGATGGCTTTAACATGTGTTGGCTATGTGATTAGCAGAAATATTCAAGTCTTCTTCAATTTTGCACAAAATGTAAAGATACTTAAACTAAACTGACAACATATAAAGATAGGACAATCAGGTATTCATGCAAAAATAATCAGAATACCAGATAAGATTTAAAGTCCTAAAACTTAAATATAATGTAGCATTGTTATACTTGCGGTCCCCTTGTCTCAAAGTTATTATTATAATTGTTTTATTAATGTATTGTTTAAACACCAGAATCAGGGTCTCGGTTTGACAAATGTTTAAGGAGATTAAAACTTTTTGAAAGTGGCAGTAAATAACCCCCACATCTTTTATTATAAAAGGCAGTCGCTAAAAACGTGGCAAAAGAAATGTAACATCCCTAGCTTTTCGTTCACGCTAGTTATTTTTGCATTGTTTTCCCAAACAATGTCTCAAACTTGTAGAATTATCAATATATATAGAATTCCAATCCTTTTTTTGATCGATTGATGCAAAATCCACTTACAAGTTGGTGGGCATGGGAAGTCATGCAACCGCCATGTAGTTAGTTTATAGCCCAACCATAGTTTTTCACTTCTGGCAATAGCATTTAAAACTATTAAATTGGTATTCGATTGCAAAGATTATCTTGCTGTACAAGATGTTTAAATATCATGAATGTTTTATTTTGCAATTTAACTTATTTTCTGCAATGATACAATATCTGACAAAAAAAAGCAACCCTATATCTGCTGGGTTTGCCTATAGAACAATGTCATCCCTGCATCAGTCTATACTCAACTTTAAGCCCCAGATGGAATTAAAATCACTAACCAGCACATGTCATATTACAATCAAACATCACCTTATGACGCATTGGAACATCAGTTACTGAAACTGATGGGTCTTTTTAAACTAACACCAATTATGTCCCATCAATTATAAAACGAGTATGAAACATGTTGATTTACATTACAACCAAAATGAAAGCAGTAATCCAACATTTTATTTTTGCCAACATAAGGATGAGGAACTACATATTTTAATAAAAATGTACTATTGATGTTAGAAATTGTTTGGCAAAATAACCTTAAAGGTAGGGTAGGTAAGAATGGAGAAACCAGCTTGAGTGCGCTAGAATTTGAAAGTACACAACCAAAAGAAATCTGCCCCTTCCTTCAGACTTCCTTACAGAGCCCCTCCTCCAACACACACGAACGTGCACATGACCAATGAGGGCACGAGATGACTTAGTGCACGAGATGGAAGGCTGACAGGCAGGTAAGCCATCAAATTATCTGCCGCGGGCCGAGGCAGATAATTGGACAGCGCCACGGCTTCCACAGATGAAATATTTGTATAAATGTATTGTCAAAGCATTTCATGTATTCATTGCTATTGGGATGTTTAGAGCATTCCATGGAATATAACAAAAAGTGTTTCTGAAGTGAATTACCTACCCTACCTTTAACTGAAGATAATTTTACGAGATTTTCTAAGAGTAAACTCGTCAGCAGGATCCTGTTTATTATAACAGTTTAAAAGATGTGTACCTTGATTCCTCACAGCATGTATTTCTTCATCTCTGTTTGCATGTGATATCATTGACTGTAGAGTGGAACAGAGAGGATGCTGGGATAAGTAACTCATCCCCTGCTCTGCACAGTTAGTACAGACCTGTGCTAATACATCTATTAATACGCTGTTTGTCTGTAAGTGAGAGTGTGTGAGCGTGGAGCCTTATCTTTACAGCATTACCACGCTATTTAACTGAGTTGTCACGGCGACAAACAAGGAGTATGACACTCAGGGGGCCTGCAACACAAATACACACCTAGGAGGACACAATACACACGGGCATATGTACTGCCTCCATGCTAATGAGATTAGGGCCAAGGCTTAAAGAAACAGTGTGTTCACGTTTTTTAGTCAATGGTTGAATATACAAAAATTGCAACACACAATTTAAATGTAGGTCTTGGGTACATTATTAAAGGTTGACTTCTATTTTTTTGTTTGTAGTTATGCACATTTAGAGTGAAATGTTAACGATAAAAAAAAAGTTGTACTAACTTTTTTCTACTTGGGTCAGCTACAGGAAATCTTTCCATAATGGCAGCCATCTGGTAAAATAGGAAGAATTCCATACTGGAATGTTTCGTCTTGTTGTGTTCTTACCTTATCCAAAATATTTCTAAAATGTTCCAACCTAGAGAAATCCGCAATTTCAATCAAGGTTATGGTGCGTTTGATTTGGTTGCCTCTTATGACGACGTATCCTCTTCGCTCATGCAACAGTGTTGTTGCTGTCTATCTATTTTTGTGCCACATTTTTATGATATACTTTTAAATCTAGTCCCTTTTACTCTATATGTCCTAACCGAATGGTGAACTTAAATCATCAGACGTCTCAGGGACACTAACTGGGCAAACGGCATCAGAGATACACTTAT